TCCTCTCGTCAGTAATTTACAAGAGGCAAAAAATAAAGATTGTGCATAATTTATACATTTGATGAAATAGATCAAACTGATTTTTATATATGTAAAATTTCATTTTAGGAAGTTTTCTTCAATTATCACTTTTTAACAATTGGAAAACTTTATGCTGAGTTCACTGCAGGCTCATTCTAATGATGCTAAAATATTTTCATATGCTGACTGGTCGACTATACAGTCTCTTCAGGGAGATGTTTCTTAACATCTAGGTCCAATTTCTGATTTTATAGTTGCTTTGTTGTTATTATTGCTTTTAAGTATTCTGTTTTGAGAATTTTTTATATATAAACACTGATCCTTTATCAAATATGTGAAATGCAAATGTTTTCTTAACCTATAGTCTATATTTTCATTCTCACAGTGGGATCTTTCACGAGCAATGGAGTACTCTTTCTTTTTTAAAAATTAATTTCATTGTATGTTTTAGGTGTACAAAATGATAGTCATCATTGGAAATTTGCACCTTTATATAATCTATCTTAGTTCTCATTTTTCCCCCTTTCCCCTGCTCTCCCTTTAACTCATCCATCCCTCCCTATTTACAAAGATGTTTCAATTTTTTCAGTTTCTCATATTACTTCCATTCCTTTCTTTCCTTTTCCCTACACTCCCATTTCCCCTTCCCCTTTCCCTTCTTCCCCCAATTTCACAGTGTTTATTATAACTTTTACTCTGTGTGTACATTTTCAGTTTCTCATACCACAGAAATGATTTTCTATTTACACATGTGTATCCTATTTATATCATTTAAGAGTATCACATCAATTTGCATCTATTTAGCTATGAATGCATCTCATTCTTTATGGCTGAGTAGTACTCCATTTTATTTTATTTTAAATCACATTTTCTTTACCCAGTCTCCAGTTGATGGGCCACTGGGCTGCTACTAATTTTAGCTATTACAAATTATGCGGCTATGAACATAAGTGCACATATATCTCTGTGGTGTGATTCTTTTAAATCTTTGGGGAAGATACCCAACAAGAGAACAGATGGATCACATGGGACCTCTAATCCTAGTTCTTCGAGGTATCTCCACAATGACTTCCACAGTGGTGGCACCAGTCTACACTAATACCATTAGTGGAGCAGTATTCCTCTTTCACCACACACCGACGAGCATGTTAGTGGTTAATTTCATGATAACAGCCATTCTTGCTGGGGTGAGGTGGAATCTCAGCCTTGTTTTTATTTACATCTCTGTAATGACCAGTGATGTTAAACATTTATCCATATGTTTATTTGCTAATTGTACTTCTTTGCATGAGAAATGTCTGTTCATTTGAGATGCTCATTTTGGGACTGGGTCTTTAAATTTGGGAGGTCTGATTTTTTTTAAGCTCTTTATATATTCTAGATAGTAGACCTTTGTCTGAGGAACAGATGGTAAAGTTTTTTTTTTTTCCCACGTGTGGGTTGTCTCTTCACACTGTTGCTGGTTTCTTTTCATTTGGAACAAGAACAGACCTAGAATAGCAAAAGCAATTCTAGGCAAAAAAGACAAGGTAGGGGGTATCACAATCCCCAACTTGAAACTATACTACAAAGCTACTGTGATAAAAACAGCATGGTACTGGCAAAGAAACAGACCTGAGGTCCAGTGGAACAGATTAGAAGATGCAGAAACAACTCCAGACACACTCAGCCACCTTATCTTCGACAAAAGAGCCAAACACCCCCACTGAAGGAAAGATAGACTCTTTAACAAACATGCTGGAAAAACTGGGTTGCCACTTGCCAAAGATTAAAACTAGACCTATATCTCTCACCATGCACTAAACAAAAATTGAAATGGATTTAAATGTAAATATTAAAACAGCTGGAAGAGAGATTAGGTAGAACTCTTGAAGACATTAGTGTAGGAAAAGATTTTATGAACAAAACCTCAGTTGCTCGTGAATTACCACAAACAGTCAATAAGTGGGATCTGTTCTTATTAAAAAGCTTCTGGAGTATTCTTTGTTGCACAATTTGCAAATGCTTTCCCCAAGCCTGCGATCCCAAAGACTTTTTTTGTCATTTTCTTTACCATTGTGTAGATTTGCATTTTATGTTTAAATTTATGATCAATTTTGAGATTTTGTATAAGATGTGAGTGTAGAGTGTATGCGTTTGTTTGTTACTAGGGGGTTGACTTCTGGATATCAAATTATTCCAGCACCATGTGTTTTCTTCCCCCCATTAAATTATTGATACATCTTAGGTATACAGTACAGTTACATGCATCCTTAGGACCTTGTACTTTTACATGACAGATCTTGGTTTTTATTGTTTCCCCATGCCCCTGCCTTCTCTTTACCCCCTCCACCCTTCCCTATTTACAGACTTTGTTTCCATTTTTTTTTTTGCTTTTCTCATATTTTTCTTTTCCCTTATCCTCACCCCTACTCCTTTAGACCTTTTCTTCCTATTACACAATATCAATTATACATTTTGATCCTTATTTTCACTTTTAGTTTTTCATACCACAGAAACTATTTGGTATTTACACATGTGTATTCTATTAATTTCAATTAAGAGTATGGCCTCAGGCCAGGGATTTAGCTCAGCATTTCCACAGACTGCCTCGAAAGTGCAAGGACTGAGTTCAATCTCTTTTGGTAATAAAAAAAAACAACAACAAAAAATGTACAGCCTAAAGGTGCATCCACTTAGCAATAAATATCTCTAGTTTCTCATTATTTATAGCTGAGTAGTATTCTGTTTCATAAAAAAAAAAAAGTTTCTTCTTTATCAAGTCCTCAATTGGCGGGAACTGGACTATTTCCAAGTCTTAGCTATTACAAACTGCTATAAACATAGGTGAGCATATATCACTGTGGCGTGATTCTTTTAATTCTTTTGAGAAGATATCCAGAATAGGAATAGCTGGGTCAAATGGGACTTCTACTCCCAGTTATTTGACATATCTCCATATTGATTTCCACGGTGGTTGCACCAGTCTGCACTCCCATCAACAATGAAGGGTTCCTTTCTCCCCACAACCCTACCAGCATTTGTTATTGATTGATTTCTTGATAGGGGATATTCTTTCTGGGGTGGGGTGGAATCTCAGTGTTGTTTCCATCTGCATCTCTCCATTGACCAGTGATGCTGAACATTTTTTCATGTTTATTTGCTGCTGTAACTTCATCTGAGAAATGTCTGTTCATTTCAGATGCCCATTTTTTAATTGGGTCTTTCTATTTGGGGCGGCCTGATTTTTTTTGAGTTCTTTATATCATTTAGATAGTAGACCTTTGTCTGAGGAACAACTGGTAAAAACTTTTTCCCACATTGTAGGTTATCCCTTAGCTCTGTTGGTGGTTTCTCTTGCAGAGCAGTTGCTTTTTAATATGATGAGATCCCAGTTGTTGATTGTTTGTACTCTCCCATGCTATTGAATATTTCTTCATAAAATCTTTTGCTGTGTCATTGTCTTCAAGAGTTCTACCTAACTTATCTTCCAGCAAGTTTAGTATTTCTCTTTTAATATTTAGATCTTTAATCCACTTGGATTTTAGTTTAGTGTATGGGGAAAGATACGGCAAGTTGAAATCCAGTGTTTCCAACACTATTAATTAAAGAGGCTTTCTTTCTGCCACTAAGAATGGTTGGCTTCTTTGGTAGCACCATTTGTTGAAGACTCTTTCATTCATTGAACTGCTTTGCAACTTTGACAAAAGTTACTTAGGTACTTTTGTGTAAATCTATTTCTGAACTCAATATTCTCTTTCATTAATTTTTGTATCTCCCTTTCTGCTACTTCTAGTCTTGATTATTATAAGGACTGAGATCTGATTTTTTAAAAGTTCATTGTCAATTTAAGAGAGTAATCATTTTGCACTTGATCTTAGCCAAAAGGCCGAGAAGTGATGAGAATAATAATTTTAAATTTAATTTCCTGAGGTTCATAATGCATGTTTTATAACATTTCAATATTTTATTTATAAAAGTAAATATTTTTCTTACTATAACCAATGATTTACAAAATTTGTGATTACAGATAACACAAAAGAAATTAAGAAAAAGGCCAAAGTATGCAAGATGAAAAAATGACTTTTATTACAATATTTCATTGCATCGATTTTATTTTACTTTAATTATTTTGAGTAAAAACATAAACTCTTCTAAAAATATAGAAAATTTATATTCCAAAACATCTAAAATCAGCAAATAGCAGCTCTTTTGAACTGGGAAGTTTAATTGCATTCAAAGGTTTTCAATGCCTTATGTGAGACTTCCTGCCTTAAGTCCATAAATTTTTATTGTGTGTCTTAAAACTCATAAAACTTTCCTGAATGATTTCCAGTCATTTACTCTCTATGGAAACTAATTTGTTCAACTGCCTTTCGAACATTTATTTTGCTTTTTAACGGGAGCAAATTATATCTATGTACAAAATACTCAACAACCATACATATTACTCTAATTGTACTCTGGAGCTAAAATGGAATAATAAAATACTAATTGCAATTAGACTGTTTTATTTGTTCAGATTTAATTTCATGGCTTGCCCCACTAGCTGAATTGTTTACAACTACAAAGTTTACATTTAATTTTCACCCATCAGTCCACTGCCAATAATGTAGAACAACATTTCATCAGTCCCTTTGGAACAAACATAATGCACCTCAGATCATAGCCAGTAGAAAAGCCCCTCATCCACTTAAGAGTGGCACTCCAATATGAAGTAAACCTTAGCCTCAATATTTTACAAGTTGCTATTTTTTGAGTTTGTTAAGCTCTGACACATTCACAGGGAGCACCTGAGAGATGGTTGCAAGCGCTCCTTAGCCAGGGATGGAAAAAAGACATTGTTTCTAACCCTTCCTCATACAATGTGGACATGACTGTCTCCCTGTAGTTACTGAATACACAAAGTATTCCTTAGTTGAGTAGATCGGTAAATAAAATTATGAATTATCACCTCAATGCATCACAATGTTTTTTCTCAAAGATGAATATTCTCTTACCTGTTTTACATCATAGGCCAGAAGGACATATTTTAAATCTGGTGAAACTGAATATCTTGATGCCTTGAAGGTTACCTTCAAGAAAAAAAAAATGAACAATTATCTTAATTAAATAACAGGAAGTTAGACTATATATATTATGAATTGGACAATGCAGTCTCAACTTTTATTACATATATGCCCATGAATATGTATATCTATGACTACATAAATGCATAGAAAAATGGAGTAGTTTATATCAGACTATTCCGCAGAAAAACTATCCAATATATCTTTATATATGTTATCTTTTAAGGAAACCTAAGGCCACATAGAGTAGTACACCTCTGTAATAGCTACTCAGGAGGCTGAGGCAGGTAGATTTCAAGTTCAAGGCCAGTCTGGACAATTTAGGGTACTCTATCAAAATAAAACAAACAAGCAAATAAATAAAATGGAGCTGGGGATGTAGCTCAATACTAAAACACATGTCTAGCATGCGCAAGACTATGCTTCAATTCCCAGTACCACAAAAAAGAAAAAAAAAGTTAATATCTTTCTTATTAAGAAAAAGTTAAAGGGTCATTAAAGTTTTAAGTAACAAAATACTTTCATATTTCCATGTTGAATTAATCAAAAGAGAAAGATAGATTGACATTCTGTGTGTCATAATTTTCTATATCTGTGCTTTTATGATCTTTCTAGTTGACTATACTTAAAGAAGACACTGTAAAGGCAGACTGTTTTTAAAGGAAATTCTCAGAGTAAATCAGATTAAAACATGAATACATAATATATTAAAAAGAGGTATTTCTCTAATTCATCTCCAAAGACAAGGCAAGCAAATCAGCTTAATACATCATTAAAAGAATACAAAATACAAACAATAAAAAATTGCATGCTGGTTATCTTTCCAAAAGAATTAAAAGAATCATATCACAGTGATATATGCACACCTATGTGTATAGCAGCACAGTTTGTAATACCTAAAACTTGGAATCAGCCCACTTGCCCATCAGTTGGAAACTGGAAAAAGAAGATGTGGTTTTTCTATAAAATGGAATACTACTCAGCCATAAAGAATGAGAAATTAAATTCATTCATAGGAAAATGGATACCTACTGAGGATATACTCCTAGATGAAATAAATAAGTCACACATGTGTAAATACCAAATAATTCTCTGTTGTGTGAAAAACTATAATAGTACATAAGATCCTAATGAGATAATTGGCAATGTGAAATAGGAAGAAAAGGGCTACAGGTGTAGGGAAAGTGAGAAGGGTAGGGGAAAGGTCATAAGGGAAAGAAAAAAATATGATAAAATGAAAAAATGGAAATAAAGTGTTTGTAAATGGGGAGGGGAGGGAGGGGTTGAAGGGAGGGCAGGGACAAGGGGAAAAAAATGAGAATCAAGACCTGTCATGTAAAGGTACAAGATCCCAGTGATGAATGTAACTGTACTATATGCCTAAAATGTACCAATAAACTCAATGAGGAAAAAAAAATTGCATGAGTACATTAAGCAAATAATATTTGCAAAAAATATTGTTCATGCATAAATAATTTTATACATAACCTCTCAATTAAAAAGAGAAAAGCTGAATAAAACTCTTTCTTTCTTTCCTTACTTCCTTCTTCTCCTTTCTTTCCTTTCTTTCCTTCCTGTCTGTCTTTCTTTTTCTTTCTTTCTTTCTTTCTTTCTTTCTTTCTTTCTTTCTTTCTTTCTTTCTTTCTTTCCTTCCTTCCTTCCTTCCTTCCTTCCTTCTTTCCTTCCTTCCTTCCTTCCTTCCTTCTCTAAGATCCTAAAACACAATGAGTAAGATAAGAACTTCAGACTAATTACTGCTTCCAAAGTTTGAGTACTATAATATAAATTCTATATGCTTTTTGTCCATGCTTCTGGCACAGAAGTCTAAAAGCCCTTACAATTTCACAAATTAAAAAAAAAGTATTTCATTATTCTCAGCAAACTTTCAAAAGTACAATAATGAGGCATAAGAGAATTATTTGCAATGGGAAGGCTAATTTATAGCTTTATGGTGAGAGTCACTAGACCACATGTCAGTACAGAGTTAGAACTTTCAACTCCAACCAAGAACACAGAAGAGAGAAGTTTGAATTCAATCTTGTCAGTGATTTAAATATCGATTATGATTAACAATGATGCTTGGATTAAACAAAACAAAACAATCTTCACAAAACTCTGCATATTGACCTTTGAAGGAGCTTTGGGTTGCGGATCATATGTATTTACTAGGAGAGGGATGTGCCTCACCTCCAAAGAAACAGTACTCTGGTGTTCAGGATCACTCTGGACATTATCACAGATAACTGTTCATTTGTACCTCTTATAAATATATAAATACTGTTATTTTGTACCTCTTATAATAAATAGGAATCATAAATATTCCCTTTTCCTGTGCTGTATGAGTCATTCTAAAGGAATAATCAGCCTAATGAGTAATGGGAATGACCCACATTATAGTCGAGTTGGATAGAGTGCAGCTAACCCTGGCAGCTGGAATTAGCTTCCAGCATCTAAATTAGGGGTGTATGGTGAGAATGAGCCCCTTAAATTATGTAGTGTTGTAACCTGTGTCAGAATTAAATTCAATTATGAAGCACTCAAATGATATTTTCAGAGAATAAAAACATAACAATTTAAAAATATTAATTGGCAACTTTTCATTCTATAAAACAGAATAACAATTCTGATGCACTGTGAAGTTTCCTTTCATACACAAAAATGGGCCAAAAATTTCAGATATAAAGAAAAAATAAATGGGTTGGTCATTTGTAATTCATTTTTCATGTACATCAGAGATAGAGACACAAAACAACAGAAATATAACTTACTAGTTAACATTAGATTATTGCTGGTCAGCTTTCTGTGTGTAAAAATTAAGGCAAAGAGAACAAATTGCATTTTCATGCCAAATGAACTGGCTTTTGGGGGAAATGTGGTAGCTCACTTCTCCTGGTTCTAACAACATCAAATAAACAGGTTAGATTCTGGTTTGGAAATTCAGAGTTCTTGACACCATTCTGAATTTAATCTGATCTATTGGACTTCAGTGCAGAAGCCTTATGTGATATGAGAGCTTCTTATAATTTTTATGTAATATTATCAGGGAACTATTGTTGGAATGACATAGTTTCTTAAGCTGTGAGCCAGATATGCAAAGAAAACAGAGTGGCAAAGAGACATGCCATCAAAAGGCAGTGGAAATATTTGGTTGTTTTGCCTAAATATATTTATTCATGAAATATATACTTAAGACATCTCACAAGAAGTCAGAGTTCTTCTAAATGTTTTTGGTTTTCATTTTTTAGAAGACCCATTTCAACAATAATAGAAATAACAACAATAACATTAGCAGCTACCCTTTATTACTCAGCTAGTATTAAAGTTCATAAGAACTTTGAACCTACTAACTAATCATCAATGTTCTTCAAGGTAATCGTGTGAGACAGGCATTCTCCTTACTTTTTCTGTCTCTCTATCTGTACCTCTCTCATTTAATGTACAAGGAAATCTTATAGACTTTAGTCTACGGCATATATAGAACAATCTGGAGGATACCGGGTCATCTATTCCAGCACTGCAGTGTATAAGATGAAAAGAGACAATATCAGAAAGCTGATTGTCATTTATAATTTGGTTAAAGACGACAATGTCATCATTTCTGTCCTATGGGGATTAAGAAACTAATATCATTGTGGTTACACTTTTCTCAAGGTAAAGAAAAGCAAACATAAGTACAATCCAGGAAGGCTTCCTTTCATAAGCTTTGAATTATCTTACCAGCATTTTTTTCCTTCTTCTTTGAGAACATCCCTGTCTAAGATTGAATTATGTTAAAAAAAACAAACCCTCATTTCCATTGTCTCTATGCGCACTCATGTGATGCTCTTCCCAGAAATTAACTTCACACTTTCACAGGTTCATCTGTGCCTCTGGTAACAACATTTTAGTATCTTTTACAGTTCCTACAATTATCCAGTCTGGCACTTTATTAATTATCACTACCTTTCTCCAGCTTATGCAGCACACAAACTAGGAAGCTTTCCAAGTATCTTTTCAGGGGCCCAAGCTGTTGAATTGTCTCTGAATTTAGAGAGTTGCATGTAGGAAACTGGTGTCACACCGACTTCTTGGTAATAACACTGTCAGAAATCCACTCTGGGAGTTGAGTTAAAGGATATTGGGAGTCCTCGTAATATAATCCATTAATTTTGTCATTCATTGAATCTTGGGAGGTCTCATTCTTCCAGAAGCTTCAAGAGACCCCTTGGTCAACATAGATCCTAATTGCAGACATTAATATAGGTCTGGCTGAGTTTCAACTCGATGTTTTCAAATTAGTGTTCTGGGAAGTTGATTGTTGCCAACAATGCAATCATATTACCTGCATGTTTAACGACTTAATTACTATTGAAATAAAAGGAAGCAGAAATCCTTTGTGCTTACTGCCCATATACCTTTGTGTGTTTATAACCCATATTCAACAATGATGCCTACCAGTGAATATTTGACACTCAACAGAATCCATAGGGCATTAAGTACATGAACTTCTTTATCTGTAAATACGAATAACAACAGGTAAAGCAAGTTCAACAGAGGAAAAATATGCCGGTGGTTTACCAGACCAGTTAAGCAAGAAGGACAAGAAATTTGATCAAATTGAAAAATATGTACATGTTGAATGCTTTCAGACATTTTGGGGATATTTTGTGGTAGCCTTGTTTGCATGTGTTATTCCATTCATGAATATTCATTGAACATTTATTTTGTGACAAGCTGTGCTGCAGACTTCAAATGGGGAAATAAAGTCCACTACAATGTTTTCCATTCCATATCAAGCAGGGTAAGACAAACATCATGGCTCTCTGTAGCCCAGATTAGAGGACATTTCTAAAATGTGAATGTCTTCAGAGAATAAATATTTAGAGTAAGTATGAAGCCATCTGAATAAGAATTAAAGTAGCTAGGCTAAAATGGATAATAACCACTCAGGTTCAGGTCATCATTTTTTTTTCAGTATAGTGTATATAGTATTACTATGTTTTCAATTTTTTTCAAGAAAAGCTAGA